GCTTTGTTAGTTTTAATGTATCTCTCCGTACCTTGTATGACAGGAGAGGTTGTCTTTGTTCTTGTTGTGTATAAATTTGCCAGAAATTAGGGCACACTCACACGCACAGTTACCTGTGCCAGGTCTGAATATGATCATACAGTAGCAAACAGGTTTGGGCAAGAACAGTCTTAAGAATTTATACTTATTAGTAGTCTATTCTGAAAAGTTTTATCAGGTATTAAGGCACTGTGAATCGAAACATTTAGGCAACTCTGATTTGAAAGAATCAGTAACTTCGATATACTAATGCTGTAGAACATACTATTCACTGAACACAGCAAATGAATGCTTCAGCTTGCCCTAGACAAACATAAAATAAGATTCAAGAGCAACAGTGATACAGCAAGCACAGCAAATAAACTGTGCATAATTGAACCAAATGATCCTTTAGAAAGACACAAACACTTGGGCCCCAGCATTTGCAAAAGCTGTGGATGTAATTTTTTTCTTCCAGAAATTCCATTCTTGTTTTTCTTGGCCTCAGACATTTTCTGTTCTTGTAAAAGAGCCCTGAGGAGCTATGAACTTACAAGAACAATAAAATACATGCTTCATAAGAAAAAAGTGTTTTCAGAATTTGTGCAAAAGCACAAGAGATGGGAAGTTGGGTCATATACATTCATCACACACACAAAAAATTAATATTCATAAAACATGTCATTTTTCTTTCATGGAAACAGAATAATTTGAAGTGAATCCTGAGGTTTTGACAGATTTAGAAGAATCTATTTATGTTTTCCTGATCTCGGGGAAGTAGCATAAAGTTTACTTCCTTGGTGCAAGTCAGACAGTGGCCACTTATGCATACCTATAGATGAACAAACATGAGGAGAATGCAGCTCAGGCGTATGGTGGGATGGCATTGCTCTCCTTCTTACAGCCACACTGAAGCAGGGCTGATGGAGAAACTAAGCTTCTGGCCCCGCTCCAGAGGGGCTTCCAGGAAAGAGACACATGTTGTATCTACATCCTGATGCTACCAGTTCACACACTGCAACAAATACCTAATCTGCATAGACGTAGGCAGCCTTAGTCCAGCAGCAGCAACAGCAGCAGCTAAATGCCAAGGACTAAGCAGTTCCCTAATATATATCAATTTCTATGCATGTGCCTGTTTTTATAACCATCTATGGATAACTAGGATAAAAAAAAGAAAACCAAAAAAAAAAAGAAAAATTTTAAAGGGAACATTTCCCCATGTCTCATTTCTATTGCTATCAAAAAGATGAATCAATACCAAGGATTCAAGCCTATTCCCAATTAACTTGATAAGTGCGCTTTTGTGTTCAGATGGGTGAGAACAACAGTTTCTCACCTCAAAAGGATGTTCTGAGGATGTATGGTTTTTAAGAAGGGCTCAGATACTTTAATAATGATGAATCAAAAGGAACAAGACAAAATTCATGCTGCTGATCAGAACTGACTTACTGAAAATGATCTACTTTTCACTGGAAGCATGAGAAATGTACATAAAAGATAGACTTGCTTTTGTTTATTTGTTTGAAGAAACTATAAGCGTAATAGATAACAGGAACAGTTTTCTTGTTTGGATGGATGTTGGGCATTTTTATTTGTTTTTCTGATGCACTTTTCAGGATATAACTGCAATAGGTCTTGAAATGAATGTTGTCACATGCATTGAGAGCTGATTAGAGGACTGTAGCTCACTTTTGTTATTAGTTGTCCACCATTCCACTAGTTCACTCCCCTCCCTGTTTGCCACAGATTGAAAAAAGACTTGAGAACATACTTATGACATGAAAATAAATTCTGAATGTTTCAGCTATGTTAATTTGCTTAAGGCCAGCATCTGCTTCACTCTTGAGAAGTGTGATTTGCTGTAACCTTTCTCCCATGTGTAGCCTGAAAGTTACAGCTCTTAGGCTCAAAAATTTGGACAGTCTTGCATAGGCTTCATAAATACTCTCCATGTCTGTGGATTCATAGCCAAATGTAATATCCCATTGAACCATAGTCCAGCAAATACTTACCCACAGAGTGTTTTTGGTTTGTCTTTTTGTTTTTGGTAGCTCAGCAACCAGTAAATTCCTCTAATAGCCATGCAGAGGATACTTATTAAATCTGTAGTATTACACAAAAACTCATACAAAAAGAAACAAAACTTGATTTAAAAACTTTTTAACGAGGCTAAACACTAATTGAATTTGTCTCATCTTTGATTGAATACAATGTGTAATTATTGATTGCCATGCACATCTCTCTTTCAGGAGTGATTTAATTTGACTTTTAATATATATCTCTATTTTGCATTTATTTTTTTTAATTTTTTCTCTTTTTGTTAAGCTAAAATCCTTTCATACAATTCAATTTTATAGAAAGTTTTCACAATCTGTCTTTACTCCCACTGCAGCCTTTTTATCTACATTTTTACCTCTTCTTTGAACACGTTCAATTACACTACATGGGGCTTACCAAATACCAGATCCTTATGCTGCAACAGAAGGACTTTAATATACAAGGTTCTAAAGCTTAATAATTTCCTTTACACCATATTTCTTTCACTCCACATAAGTTTCACTGATGGCCATAATTTGAAAACTAAGGTATTGTCTCCATTCTTAACAGCCACAATTATTTCAGAGTTTTGTAATGTTACATTCCATGGTTTTGATCAAATGAAATAATATTCATTACCCACCCTGCAGTTCATCTGGACACGATACCCATCCTGATAGTTACTCTAGTTGTAACAATCTGAAATAACAAAAAATGGATTTTTCATTTTATGATTTTTGCTTTTCTTTTCTAGGAACTTTGAAAAACTGTCAACAATATTCACTTATTCTGTGTGTGCTGTTTCCATGACTTGTTTGAGGTAGTCTGTCATTGGTACACTGCGGCTTCCACGTTGCAGAAAATACAGGTCAGCTGATTTGTACAAATTTGTCTGGTTATAAGTGTACACCCTCATCCTTTTTGATATATGATGTCTGAGAAAAAATTAGAAATCCTTTACATACACATGCAAATAAAACTGGTTTGAATTATCCAGTTTGCAGTAGAAGTAAACTAAAGGTCTTGCTTTTCTGTGATGAGCTGTAAAGAATGAGGGGCTGAGAAAACAGGTCTAAGTCATTTGCTGAATGGCTGAGATGTATATATTCTTGTCATTGCATTAACTGTTGTGAATCTTCTTCACTCTTCGTCACTCACAGAGAAAAGTTGTGCACAGGGCACACAGACACTCTGCCACATTTTAACTTATTACCGAGTTACTTATGCCTGATGATGATGCCACACTGCTTCTGAGATCTGAGCCTTGCATGTCTTGTTCATGTCTCAGTTCCACCTTTCAAAACATTTTGGAAGGAAGAGGGGCTCCACATCCCAGAGAGATGTTTATGTCCCCCACCCAATGTGCTACAGAAAAGCCAGCCTCACTGGGAAGTTGAAGAGTAAAGTGTAGCTGAGTAAAGGGTTGTGGCACTGTCAGAGGATCCTCATGAGCCACAGAGATGAAAGGATAGATTTTAGACCAAATAGTCTCTAAAGAGCATAGAGAATGTCCTGGTTTCAGCTGGGATAGAGTTAATTTTCTTCATATAAGATAGCATAGTGCTGTGGTTTGGATTTAGTACCAGAAGAATGTTGATAACACACTGATGTTTTCAGCTGTTGCCAAGTAGTGCTCAGACTACTCAAGGACTTTTTGAGCTTCTCCTGCTCGGCCAGGTGCATAACAAGCTGGGAGTACAGCACAGCTAGCACAGCTAACCCAAACTGGCCAAAGAGCTATTCCATACCATGTAACGTCATGCTAGGGGGGAGTTAGTCGGTCGGTCGGTCACGGGCAGACTGCTCGCTGCTCGGGGACTGATCGCAGCTCAGGGAGTGATCGCGGCTCAGGGACTGATTGCGGCTCAGGACAGGCTGGGCATCGGTCAGCAGGTGGTGAGCAATTGCATTGTACATAATTCGTTTTGTATATTCTGTATATTCTATATATTCTGTTATCATTCTCATTATTAGTATTATTATTATTTTCTCTTATTAAACTGTCTTTATCTCAGCCCCTACCCTTTTATTTTCTTTCCGATGCTCTCCCCCATCCCACTGAGGAAGGGGGGAGTGAGCGAGCGGCTGCGTGGTCCTGAGTTGCCAGCCGGGTTAAACCACGACAGAGAAATACATACTTTTTGAAACACTGACAGTGTTTCTTTCAGTTTTGTCCCTGTGTTGCTAGAAAGCAAACTAGATGAGGAAATTTGAATTAAAATAGAGGGATAAATAAATACAATAAAATAAGTAACTCAGTAGCAAGTACAAGTACTCTGGTGCTTTATGGTAAAAAGATAAAATTGAAGATGAGGCGAACTGCGACTTGGTTTTCAACATCTGTCCAAGGCTAAAATGTTTAATGAGGTTCTATATTTTGCATATTTCTTCACTTTACTTTCCATCAGACTTAACTTACTTTGAATAAACTGCCAAATTTCATTTCTCATTTATATGCCTCTCTTAATAGGATTCTGTAATTAATCAATTAAAATTTTGTAATAATTAAATCAAAGCTGATTTGAGATAGATTTAAATTCCCATTTTACATTTAATTAACACCATAGTTCTTTTTCTATTATTTATCGTTAATACTAATGTTGTGTCAGTCATCCCAGAGAGCTCCATCCTAATTGCATAGTTCCCTGTGATGAATTGGGTGCTTTTTTTCTAGCTTTAAATGATTTGAAGGAAATATTTTCTGTGTATATTGATTAAGACATATTTTTTTTTCCTTTCTCACAAGCTCCTACTAACTGAAATGTATTAAAGATTTCATTCTACTATGTATTTGAGAATATCTAAATTTGGTTAATTGTCACCATTCAGATATATAACGTTCTTTATGTAAAGGCTGACAAGTGTTCCTTGAGTTAACATCTGCTTTAAGTACATCTCTCCTGCCCTGAAAGACTGTTACGACAGATGGAGCTCAAAACCGTGGACTAAATGAACCCAATGGGCATTTCAGAGGGGTGGTCCATAGACTAAGGGAATGGTATCTGTGTGTATATATCAAAAAAAAAAAAAAATGGGAAGGGGGGGGTGATTAATTGGAATGTATTGTAAGGGTAGGACCTAAGCATGACGTAAATGGTATAGAATAAGGGGTGGATACTGTCCTGGTTTTGGCTGGGATAGAGTTAATTTTTTTCATAGTAGCTAGCATAGTGCTGTGTTTTGGATTTAGTACCAGAAGAATGTTGATAACACACTGATGTTTTCAGCTGTTGCCAAGTAGTGCTCAGACTACTCAAGGACTTTTTGAGCTTCTCCTGCTCGGCCAGGTGCATAACAAGCTGGGAGTACAGCACAGCTAGCACAGCTAACCCAAACTGGCCAAAGAGCTATTCCATACCATGTAACGTCATGCTAGGGGGGAGTTAGTCGGTCGGTCGGTCACGGGCAGACTGCTCGCTGCTCGGGGACTGATCGCAGCTCAGGGAGTGATCGCGGCTCAGGGACTGATTGCGGCTCAGGACAGGCTGGGCATCGGTCAGCAGGTGGTGAGCAATTGCATTGTACATAATTCGTTTTGTATATTCTGTATATTCTATATATTCTGTTATCATTCTCATTATTAGTATTATTATTATTTTCTCTTATTAAACTGTCTTTATCTCAGCCCTCAGCTCTAACCTTTTATTTTCTTCCTGATTCTCTCCCCCATCCCACCAAGGGAGGGGGAGCAGTGAGCGAGCGGCTGCGTGGTGCTTAGTTGCCAGCCGGGTTAAACCACGACAGAGAAATACATACTTTTTGAAACACTGACAGTGTTTCTTTCAGTTTTGTCCCTGTGTTGCTAGAAAGCAAACTAGATGAGGAAATTTGAATTAAAATAGAGGGATAAATAAATACAATAAAATAAGTAACTCAGTAGCAAGTACAAGTACTCTGGTGCTTTATGGTAAAAAGATAAAATTGAAGATGAGGCGAACTGCGACTTGGTTTTCAACATCTGTCCAAGGCTAAAATGTTTAATGAGGTTCTATATTTTGCATATTTCTTCACTTTACTTTCCATCAGACTTAACTTACTTTGAATAAACTGCCAAATTTCATTTCTCATTTATATGCCTCTCTTAATAGGATTCTGTAATTAATCAATTAAAATTTTGTAATAATTAAATCAAAGCTGATTTGAGATAGATTTAAATTCCCATTTTACATTTAATTAACACCATAGTTCTTTTTCTATTATTTATCGTTAATACTAATGTTGTGTCAGTCATCCCAGAGAGCTCCATCCTAATTGCATAGTTCCCTGTGATGAATTGGGTGCTTTTTTTCTAGCTTTAAATGATTTGAAGGAAATATTTTCTGTGTATATTGATTAAGACATATTTTTTTTTCCTTTCTCACAAGCTCCTACTAACTGAAATGTATTAAAGATTTCATTCTACTATGTATTTGAGAATATCTAAATTTGGTTAATTGTCACCATTCAGATATATAACGTTCTTTATGTAAAGGCTGACAAGTGTTCCTTGAGTTAACATCTGCTTTAAGTATTACTCTTTATTTAGCTGTTCCCTATCGGCTGCTCTTTTACTTCATGGTCGGGCTGACTTTTCTGTTAACAGCCATAGAATATAAAGGATTTGTATTCTTACTTATCATTCCATTATCCTAAGAACTAAATAATAGAAAAGAGTAAAGCAGATCTGTGAATATCAGCAGGCACAGGTAGTTTTAAACATACCTAACAAAGGCATTTCTGGTTATGGTAGCACTGCAGGGAAGAAATACTTCCAGGACAAGACAGGTGTCACAAGGTCCAAATGGTGTGTCCCTTAGTGAACACTCTACAACTGGGACACCACATCCCGCAGTCTGATGTATAATAGAACTGCAAAACTGAAATACAGACAGATTTGCTACCCATGAGCACAGCTGAGGGTCTGAGGCAGATTTTGAAGTTCTATCCTCTCTGAAAAAAAAGAACCCAATACCTTAATATGGTTTAAAGAAAGTTTTCAGGCATCTTACTGCAGTGATTCTAAGCTTTTCAGTACTGTTAGTTTCTGTTGCAACAGAGAAAAAAAAAATCTTGAGTCTTGCCATCCTGAAAGTGAGGGTTATTATGACCTTCAGGTTAACAATCCATATGGCAGTGCTATTTTTAACTTAACTTGCAAGGGGTTTGCAGAGAACATAATTAAACGCACAGCCATTAAAAATCGAATCCTTACCAACAGTTACCTCAGACTGTCACATGAAATGCAGGAATCCTAGCTGTGGGTTAGCTATAGGAACCAAATGATTCATAGGTAGGTGGACATTTCAGATAGCATTGTGTTAAGAGCTGGTGTTAAAGGTTGAATCCTACCACTAATCCCAGTGTCAATACTGTAATTGATTGGCAGAATATAACCACAGAAAGATGATTACATGAATTTCATTTTACAAAAACTTAAGATTATGTCATCCATTACTTTTAAATTAAAATTGAGAGTCCTTAACAATTTATTTATCTTTCAATTCACTGGCATTTTTGTTCATACCTGTGCAGCTGAAATGCTTGCGTGAAACAGAATCCCATGTGAAAAGAAAATGTAAATGGTTCAGATCAAGATAAAGATATTAAATAAAAATACTTAATTAAACATTGTTATGATCAACAAATAAATGCACAAAGATCTGAGGATCTCATTTTTACTTAGTGTGCTGGCACACAAACTGAGCCAAAGGAGAAACATTTCTAAGTGTCTAATTTGCATCCAAAACGAGGTGAATGGAGAGACACTCAGACATGCTTGAACTACATCCAAACTAACCTCATAAATGTCAGAAATATTTTCTGAAACAATAAGTCTTTAGGAAAGAGGCAAACCTCTGCCTTTGCAAATGATTCTGCAACTTTCTAAATACTTTGGAAAAAAAGAGAAGAAATATACCAACAAGATTAAAGAGCACAATATTTTAACATCCTTTGAAAACAGAAAAAGTACCGTTCTTTAGCATTACAGACAGAGGATACAAGTCACTGAGGGTGATTTGGTGCTTAGGGGCGTAAACAGGTACTTTCTGGATGTATGCCTCCCTCCCATTTTAAGCAATCACTTAGAAACTTGAATAGTGTCAGTCATTTTGCATGTCTGATATCACCTATTGAAACATAACCCTAGGACTTTATTCTGTTTTGTTTTTTCTGGGAGAAGAGTAACCCTATAAAATTTCTCTGATTTCCCAGTCCTGAGATCACCAGAAAACACTAGCCTAATAGAAAATGTTGCCTGACACCATTCAGTTACCTCTCCCAGAAACTAACAGCACAGAATTAATGCAACACTTTTCCACCACTTGTGTATCCCTTATAACCAGGTGAAATTAATGAGAAAGATTACCTTTTTTTTCCTTTCTGTTTGAGGTAACCCTTAATCCTCTTTGAATCATTGGAAACTGGGAGATTTACAGAGAGCTGAGAATCTGCTTTTCAAAGTCCACCCACAGGTCCCAGATATCTTGCTATCAGCATGATAGTGTTAAGCCATGCTAAATAAATAACTTCAAAAGACAGCACTACTGTGCCCAGACCCCAACACTGAGAACAAAGTGCAATAAATTATGCGTAAATGCATGAGGCAATGTAGCAGTGTAGTAGCCCCCTGCCCCCAGTCTCCCTCCTCAGGCATTAGTCCCTTTCCTAGTGTCAAGGTTAAAAGATACGTGATGTTTCATGGGTTGTGCACTCTGCATCTTCTGAAGTAAATTAAGAACACCAGTGGATGAACTCAAAGTAATAAACAAGTAGGCAGTAGACAGAATCAGCTGGCCAAACACTAATGTTCAATTTAACACTAGCACATATACAGATATAAACAGAAGGATGCAAAATTCAATTCATTGCAGGCATCTCTGTAGGAAATCAATTTATTCATAAAAGCACATTTTAAATAACTATTTGATGGATAAGATGATCTTTGACTAGCTGAAGAAAATAATAGGATTAGAGTTTTATGCAAAGCTAAATTGTGGCTACGAATATCTCCAGGCTTTAAGGAAGTTCATACTGAAGTTGAAACTTCACAGCTACCTGTTTAACAGGAGACCTGGACCCACAAGTTTGGGAAAGGCAGTTGTGTTTCACACTCAGATCAGATTTTTGGGGCTTCCACTTCCTCTGCCCACTTACCATGGAACTCTCATCAAACCAGAAAACGGATCAGTAACTGCAGAGCAAGCAACTATTATTTCTGTGTAGCAACAGTGTGCTAAATATAACAACCAGTAGATAGGAGTTAACATAAAATAAGTCTATTTTTTTCAGAACTCCTTGTCTCTTTAACCAATTAGAAAGTCTTGGGCTTGTTCTGATGTTGAAAGCTAGAGAAAAAGGTGAATCACCTATCGGCCTCTGCACTATGAAATGAAAGCCAGCTTGCAATCTATTGAAGTTGTGAGTGTTGGGAGCAGGGAAGGAGCTTTTCCTCTCCTTTTCCCTGCTCTGACCCGTTACAGGTCTTGTTCTCCTTCCCAGACTGTGAAAGACTCTCTTGGTGAGGCTGGGGAGAGCAACTCACCCACCCCGAAGTGTGCTGCTTAACCAGCTGAGCACATCTCTGCAGTGAATCATGCGTAACATAAGCACAGCTTTTATTCCTTGGTGTGACCAGAGGACATCAGGAAGCAGCCAGCACAGCACTCAGCTTGAGTTGTAAGCTCTTATGAGAGCAAACATGGATAAGCTTTGGTTCAGCTGTAGGTGCAATATTCCTAAGTGGGTTTTTTTCCTGGTTTCTTGTCACCTGGGACATTGAGAAAGCAAGTTTGCACCGGACAGTGAAATACTTTGTGAAAGCCCTAATAAAAGGAGGAAGAACAAGTTTGGAAGACTTATTCTTGTTTTTTTCCCTCTCAGAGAACAGATGTGGACAGGTCAGGATGTTACTCTACCCTAAGGAACAGTTCAGGAAGCACATTCTTCCTGGCCCTACAACACAAGCTAGTCTTCAAAGGAGGAATTTCTCTCATTTCCCTTAGGCTAGCATGACTTTGCACTATTAC